GCATTTCAGCTATGTCAAGGATAAAAGACACCGCAGTCAAATTTAGTCTCTCTCTCCAGTGCACCAAGTGTTTTTTGATGGTTCTAACAGACACTCAGAGCATTTCATTAATCGTCTCCCGAGTATCGAAAGAAGACGAAATAGGCGAAATTTCCGATTATCGCCTACTCGAGCAGCTCTTCATATATTCAAGGCCATATCACTCCAATCATGGCACCTACTCAATAATTTCGATCTCCTGATATGCGGACCTCGGCAAGGTTTTTGGACAATTGGACTATTTTATATGATATCCATCCAGCAAACCATCTTTTGGAGATATACCTTTAGCTGGAAACAATAATCGGCCTCTTCACAATATAAATGGTTTTTTTACATAATATGGGTATTTTGATAACTCGGGTTTGAAATATGCTTAGTGCCACGGAAACCTTAAAAAAATTGAGATTTTGGTCGTTTTCTGTACATTTTTCGCTTTATTTTGATTCGAACCATAGCATGATCCGATTCCGAAAATTTTTGCTCCCCTTTTACTCAACAAACTTATGGAAGTGCGGGACAGCAGGACGAGCCTTAACCAAGCTGGATTCGCGCGATTATGCTGACCAGATATATATGTTGAGAAAGGTTTGGAATATCGCTTCAATATTTGCAACCCACTGTTATGTGTTTCATCGACTCTGCGCCTGCTTTTGATTCAACTGATAGAACGGCGCTTAGGAAGGTGATGGAATGCGACGGCGTGTTCCAAAGATCATTCGACTCATACTGGCATTTTATAGGCGTAAGTCGGCGCAGATCTGTGTATATGGGAACTGATTCTTTCGAAATAAGGACTGGCGTCCGTCAAGGTTGTGTCCTTTCTCCCACAATATTCAACTATACGATAAAGTGTACAATGGACACCGCTTGTCGGCACTCAAGGGATGTCCAAATCAGTCCAGAGCATCGTATCACAGATCTTGAATACGCTGATGATGTAGTTCTTTTTGTTGACAGTTATGATGAAATGCAAGTAATGTTAAATAAATAACATGCCAGAAATTGCAGTGAGAATCGGACTCAGGATCAATGTAAATAAAACGATAGTCTTTTCGTCTTATGTGCAAAAAGCTGATAAAATGACTCTTTTTATAAATTCATTGCCGATTGAGGAAAGGACCGATTTTAAATACTTTGGGTCCACTCTCATACCAAATGGCCAGGCAAAAGACGATATTACAGCCCGCATAACGGCAGCTAGAAGTGCGTTCTTCGAAAGGTTGACGAAACCTTTATGGAGCCGTCGTGAAATTACCATTGAAACACAAAAATCTATATAGCCGTAATCCGTTCGATCTTACTATATAGTTCAATGAGAGTGGAGGATATTAAGAAGTGCCTTTGACCACTCTTGTCTAAGGTACATATTACGGATCCGTCGAGCGGATAAGATATCACAAGATCGCATCCATCTTCGTTTCAATACCACTTGCATAAATAATGTTGTCGCATATTTCGTTACTTGCTAAATTGTGTGATGGATGGTGTCAAAAGGTGATGGGCCAAAAAGATTTCGAACGTATAAGTGGACCAGCAATATATGGACTTAGACGATGGGAAAAGGAATGGCGTCTATTACTGTCGACGATGGCATCAGATCACGCGGCTTGGAAACGTTTTACCTTTGTAGCCGTTGAAGCCAGCCTCACCAGTAATAGCGAGAGCTGTTAAAAGAAGAAAAAGAAGAACGAAAGAAGAACAATCTGATTCGTAAAACTGGCGGTTTCGGCTCCACTATAAAGTAGTTATTTAGAAAGGAACCTTTCCAGCGATGATTGGTCAAAATATAGTAAACCTGGTTCGAAGGCCGAATGAAAGGAAAGTTTTATATAACCATGTCTTTGCGATAATAAAAATATTTACAAGAACTTCAAGTTTCTTGGCAAAGCAAAAAAGGCTTTCACACGTCTAACTTGCCAACCTATCGTGATAGCATCCTAAAGTAGCATTCCCTTCTCACCAGATTATAACCATGCATTATGTCCTATATGTATAGACCAGTCACCTCGATTATTTATGTTTTTGGAAAAACCTCCGCTTTCGAACTTTTTGAACTTTTTTCAACTTTTTTTCAACTGAGAGATGCTATAACTACTCGAGATCCAGAATGAGGAAGATGAACGTTTTTCTATATGATATTTGGTAAAATTGTTATTGTCTGACTTCCACAAATGTTCCACGCAGCCATGGTCATTGTCAGATGAACTCTTCAATATATGCCTGTAGGCCAGTTAAGCAGAATCATAATAAATCAGAATTAAATTAAAACTGATTTGGCAACACCAATTAACATATTAGTAAGGTTAATTTTACAGTTCTTCAAACAAAAATATGCATTTTCTGAAAGAAAAATACTCGATAAATATGAATAAAGTCTACAACAAATGTAGGAATTATTAAATAATGTATTCAAAAAGATGGAAAGGCTTCATAATCTTCGCAAATTTAATATATTTAAGAAAAATAAAAATTAAAAATTAAAATTAAACAAACATTGTTATTAGTAATTAGTAAATGCAGAATGCACAAGCCACTCTACAAGAATAAAAGAAAGGTGCAAGCAACATCCTTGTTTTCTGGAGAATTTTCTTTGTAATTGGCGTAATAAATTTTGGCACAAATCATTTAACTGGTTGGAAACGCCTTTGGCTTCTCGTATTAGACAAATATGCCAGAGATTTCCTTGGCGAAAAGTATACGTAAATCGCTAACATAACCCGCACTTTTGAAAGACAGGCTTATTCTTCCTAGTATTCTTCCTAGTACAAGTACATATAATATCTTATAATTCATGAATGTGCTTTCGACTTTTAGAGCTCAAATTTTCTAAATTTTTGCCCATTAATCTATCTATACAAAAGATTTCTAATACTAATAATTCAACGGGACTTCTGAATAAAAAAAAATTTGGAACGTTTCTAATAATACTGGTGCCAGGGAGAAAAACGTCCGGATAAATAATCAGTTATTTTAAACCTAAAACTCTAAAACTCTGAGACGCTAACTCTAAGATTAAGTAGAAATCACGAAAAATATACAAGCTATGCATAAGCATATGCAAGTTTATATATCCATACTCTTATGTCAGAAATGGAAATAGAAATATTCGGGAAATACACCACCTGTGAGTGGTATAGATCATCCTCTACCTTGTACTCGCTACGAGACGCCTGGGAGTTCGAGTAACATTAATGACATGGGGGTTGAACGGCCCAGCGGGTTGTTGCGCCATTCGGAGCGCCGATGCTGAGCTTCTCTGCAGGAATAACCTGTCCAAAAATCTGGGTAATGACGACTCACCTGTGCTCCTATCGCTAAGGGATTTCGTTTCGCCCGGCGGAACCAGTCTAACAGTGGCGAGTGCTCTTTAAAAAAATGCAAACGCCGTATGTGCGACTTTTTTCCTTCCATAGGAGTAAACCAAAAATGAAATCATGCTGGTTCTTAATCCCGTGAAGAGAAAAATCCTGTCTTGACAGCCAGTAGAAACAAACAAGGTGAGTGTTATCAGGAGAAATACAATAATTAAATCACGATGGCATGATTCAGAGAATCATTTCCAATTTAGCACATCTCTGAGAAAATTAGAGGATTCTATTAACAACAAATGAGTGTAGTTCCATTAATTAATTATTATCGCCTGTATTATTTACACTCTGTTTAAGGGGCTTTATGAATAATGACAAAAGCTATTCGCTGTCCCCAGAATTCTTTGTTCTGAGGAATAGTTCAGCTAAAACTCGCATCTTTCTCAAACTCCATAAAAACCGCCTAAATTAATAAATATTTCATGAAACCAAGAAGAAACAACAAAGGAAAGGAAGTTAGTTCACCGAGTAATCGACAATGAAACAACAAATCCAACAGTTCAGTGAGTGACTTCAGCTAGATTCGTCAAACAAGAATGAGGCGTTATTCTCACAATCACGAAGCAAGAAAAAATATTCCGATAAACGAGCCACGGTAGTTCTGAGCGATTTTCTCAGTAACGAACTGCTGATATGATTAGAAAATTCGAGGGACTCTGAAAAACATGCTGGAAATATCTTCGGCAAGAAAAAAATCCAATGGAGATGGGGCAAAACGAACCTCTAAGAGCGTTCAACTAAAGTTAAATAAGGCGCTCATCCAGATTTCGGCAGTAATCGCTCTACTGAAAAAAAACTAATTTGGCTAAACCTACACTGCTGCGCAGAATATATGGTACCTTCGCAATTTGCGAATCTCGTTTTTAATGAAAAATTATTAAGACGCAGGCACAGGAGCTGAATCAGTTCTCGACATATCGAGCAGCAAATATCAGAACTGAGACGAATATTCTCAGTGGCTGCAAAATAGAGATTAAACGGACTTGCTCGGTGTTCTGCTCGGCTGCGGTAGTGAGCATTCGGTTTGGTCCAAAAGAATCGATGTGATTCGGTGAGTTTCCGTGGAATTGGAGGTTTTTCCTTGGACTTTGCTTGAAAGTAGAGCAAATCAATCCGTTTGGTTGGATTCGGCATTTGTCGGAAGTTAATTTCAAAAGGTTTGCCTTGAGATTGCACATATCGCTTTGTATTTCGTCAAGACGCCCTCGAATGGCCTCGGAATTTCCCCGCAGTCGACCGTCAGTTTCCCATGAGTTGTGGAAATTGAGAAGAAATTAATCTGTTCGCAGTTCGTTTCACTGCAGTCGTTCGCACTCATCACTTTTCTGCCATACTCGCCCGTCCTTTAGGGTTCAAACTTAGGCTTTTGTGTGGTAATTTGCCCATTATCACCGTCTTTCTGCCCTTCTGCCCGCTACTGATGGTGATTTACTTCGAGGAAGTCACATTCCTTTTGCTGCTTCAGCTTCCCTTTGAACCGTTTTGCTAACATTGGCATTTTATACCTCCTCAAAGTCTTCCATTAGCATATTCAGTTATAATTATTGTTTAATTTTAGATTTATTCAGGCGATCTTTGTTTTGTATTAATATGTTTCACAATACTTTTCAAAGTGGCCTTTTGTCCATTTTATATAGTATTGGCAGTAAACCATTGCAAATTTGGGATAAAAAGGTCATATTTTATAGTTATATTATTTCGATAATGTTTAGTTGTTTGATCTTTAAAATTAATAGACAACATATATTGGAGATAACTTTTTTATAGTTTTCATGTCTTTAAAAATGTAGTTTTTATTGAAAAAGTAAGAATTTGAATCTTTGAATCTTAGAAATTTAAGGGTGTTCTTTCGAATAATAATATGTTGAATTACTAAAGGGAGTTAATTCAATGTGATAACTTCTAATTTAAATCTAAAATGATTGCGATGTTATGCGCTATATTAGTTTAGGTACGAAATGGTCATATAAAACGTATAACTGATGAAGAAATTCAGTCGCTGGTTATTGAGATTATTGGTACGAATGTCAGGTTACGTTTTCAGAGTTCTTTTTTACTCATTTCACTCATTTCTTTATTCTATATTTAATTATAATTATTTTCTATTTATCATTAGTAAGAATAGTTACTAATATTTTTATTGATTATTTTTGAGCGATTCTATTCATTTATAATTGAAAATAACTTTTTTATAGTACGGCATATATTTCGTGTCCACTTGATTCAAATAAAACTCTTGGAATAAAACTGCCATATTTGGTGATGATTGTAAAAAATTTGAAAAGATATTTTACATTTGAAGTACAGGTTAGCTTAATTCTTTTTTCTCAGAGTTTTTACCATTCTTGCTTAAGCTCGCTCGGCTAACTTATCAGATTTTGCTAAGGGTTATTTCCTGAATTTTTGAAAGGAAATTTATTCCTGCTGGGAATAGAATCGGAAATAAAAACCCACTGAGCCATACCTCGTTTCAATTTTTGTTTGTTTTCATTTCATTTTCATTCCACTAATTTTATCTAATTTCATCTAATTTTTTTATTTTCCATTTGTAATCAGCGGAATTAATTTTACTTTTTGTAATATAATAGAAAATATAAAAGATTTGTTTTATTTGGGAGTGGTTTAAAATTTCTGCAATTGTCTATTTTTGAATCGATGAATTTGTAGTGAATACTAGTTTATTTTAAATTTCAGAATTTCTTACCTATATTTTGTCATAATACATGTTCATTTTCACTTAAGCCACTAATTTATGCATACCTTTTTCTTATAAATGGTGTTGAATTTACATTGTTGAAAATTCAGATATTGGATGATAAAAGAGTGAAACGTCGCTTTCGAGCCTCCAATTATCAGTCAAATACTCGAGTTAAGCCATTTATTTGTACAATGCCAATGCGTTTGGATGAAGGCTGGAACCAGATTCAATTTAATTTAGCTGATTTCACAAAACGAGCCTATGGAACGGCATATGTTGAAACTCTTAGAATTCAGGTCTTTGAAGAAAATTTTTCTGAATTTCAAGCTTTTGAAGCTAAATAATATATTTCAGAATTTTCTTTTTACATTCTTGAGTAGAAATTTATTGATTTTTTTATGATTCTTTTTTTTCTAATAGCATTTTAATCATTTGACGAGCTTGATTAATAACTAACAACTAATAACAATATAACTAATTTCAATATAACTGACTCATAACTCATAGCTGAAACAAACATTCCGTAATATTCATATCAAAATTTTTTAAATACAACATCATTTTCTTTTATTTTGTTTTTGCTTTTTTAAGGAGGAAGAATTGAGGCTCAAAAATGAAATGAAAAAATTTTCCATTTCAATATTTCCTTCGGACAATGAAACTTATCAATTCAAGTTTAAATTTTTTTCAGATTCACGCCAATTGTCGAATTCGGAGAGTATACTTCGCTGATCGTTTGTATTCGGAAGACGAACTTCCTGCTGAATTCAAATTGTATTTGCCCATTCGAGGAAACGCTTCTAGTGGAATTCGTTTGCTCGAAGATGACGAAACCCCAACTATTGCAGCTTAAACATAATCTTTTCGTCATATATGTCCATTAGTTTTTTCGGCATGCATAAATCTGTTTATTTTTTTTTCTGGAATTTATTTACTAGCAATAATTATAAGACTGGGATAAAAAAGTATTAGTGATTTATTCTTTTTTCTTCTTCGTTTTGAGTGAGTTCAGATGTTCAGATTCAAAACATGTCTTCGAAACTCTGGATCATGGCGATTTAGCTGCACTTCTGTTGTAAGTGATTCCCTGATAAAAGTTTCTAGTTCATACCAACGGCAAATGGAACCAGCCAGGAGTGATGTTTACCAGTTTTTTTTTAATCTTCACTTTTGTCCGCACCTCTAGCTGGTCCCATTATATGTCAGGAGGCTTAAGAGATTTCCATGCTTTCCATTATATTGTCAATATATTATTTTTATACATTATTCAATTATTCATTTTCGTAAATTTTAAATTTTTCATCATATAAATTTTTTTTGAACTATTAATTTTATTTTTTGGTTTCAAATTTTAAATTTTTTTATTCAGTTTTGAAAAAACGGTATTTATTTTTTATTTTCATTTTTTATATCGTTTTCTGAAATGAATTATTAACATTTAGTAGTTGCATTTAGAATAATAAATAATGCTGTTAAATATTCATAATATTTATTAAACAAATGTTATTCTTTTTAGTGGTCAGGAAAATATTTTCATGCCGTAAATTACGGTTTTGGATTATTTGTATGCTTAACTTGAACGTTGTTGCCGGAAAATTTTTTTTGCATCGGCAAGTTCGGTTATCTTTTATCTGATCTATAGGAAAATAATATTTAGGGATAGTATCTTCTTTTTGATTTCTTTTTCTTTTTTATTCCTAGGTTTTCACCTTATATCTCACATCGTCGTAATATTTTTTCACCAATAATTGACCTCACCTAGTTTTTTTTTTCTGTTTTTGGCAGTTAATGCTATTGCTAATTTGAATCCACTGATACACAGCTTTTACTAATAGCTCTAACCATTGCTGGTTAGGATGTGTACAAGGATACGACTTTTCCAGGCTATTCGATTCGATACCATCTCCGACACTTTTCGTCGTCTAAATCTGTATACTTTTGGTCCTATTGTACATATAAAATCTTGATTTTATCAATAAGGTCTTTATTGGCCCTCTTTATTTTGGATCTCATCCATTATAAGGTTTAGTATGTAATGAAATTTGTCAACTATTTTGGTGACGAAGAATATTTCCTTACCAGTGAAGGCGACCTTCTGCGATTGTACTGGGACGAAGATGGGTGCAATCATATGAAATTTTATTCGCATAGCGAACCCATAAAATGTAATTTAGGCTTGACTGGTGAAAGGAAAATAATTTAATTGATATTTTCCACTCTCATTGGCCATATAACAGGATCAAGCAAGTTACAACTATATAGATGTGGGCATTCTTCTTTATGGTGATTTCGCGACGGCTTCATAAAGATTTCATCAACCGGAAGAACGCATTTCTAGCTACCTATCTGATTTATTTGGGTTGTGATTTTTTTACCTGGCCATTTAAGGCTAGATTGTGTCCAGGATATTTAAAGTCTGGCACTTCCTCAGCAGTATGGCAATGAGTTGATAATGGTAGGTATTTTATCAGCTTCTATATTCTTATAAAACGAAAGGATTTATTATTTATATTTATATTGACTCTGAGTCTGGTTCTCGCTGCAGTTGTTGAAATTATTTGTCTTTCATCATGATTATCAGCAAAAACGACTGCATCATCAACAAATTCAAGATCTGTGTTACTATGCTCTGGACTGATTTTATACATCTCTTGAATGTCGACAGATTGTCCACTATCCAGTCTGTCGCGTAGTTGAATGTTGTATGGGAATCGACGCAGTCTTGACACCAATTCTTATTTCAAAAGAATCTCAATTCCCCATATACACAGACTTTTACAGGGCGATACCTTAATAAGCATACATACAGTTACCGTCCTGTATCATTTCACTAACTCTTTCTCGAGTTATACTTACGTCATTAAAAAGCTGGAGTAGTTTCCTATTATCGTCAAATCGAGCCGTCATTTGCATTCTTAAGGCCAATATTGGTCTAAGAATGATTTTTATCCTGTTGTGATGCTATCGAATTGCAATTCATCAAAACGTCCGATAGCCAGGATCTCCTAATGTTCATACTTTGGCAACCTTTTCGGGCATTTGGACAGTTTCTTCCTGCACCCAACTAGCGCATTTTCTATTAGCATATTCTAGCGTGAAGACCTTTAATTGGGACCAGTATTCATCTGCCGTTCCAGAGAGAGTTCCTGTCGCTGATATTTATATTATGCTGATATTTATATCATAATTCGGTTTGAAATGCCTCTGATTCTTTTAAATAGGTGAAAGACTTAGATATTGTTTTTTGCGAATTGTCAGTTTCATATTATATATTAAATCTTAAATATTAAATCAAACCATAACATGATTATCCTTGAAGGTTACCACTTTTAGCGCAGTTTAAAAACGACTATCTAGCCAGAACTCTTCTACTGGATATGTAAGGTCTACCTTTGGCAAGGATGGCAAGGATGATGAAGATAGAAGATAGATTCTCGGTTTCTTTCATTTTCATTGGCCATTTTCTTTTCTGTCGCTATTACTTCTATACTTTTTAATTTTCTTATTAGTCATGGTTTTGATATTTATTATGTTGTACACTTTGCTATTTCATCAATCATAATTTTATCAGTAGGAGAAATTCATTTTTACTTTTTTTTGTTCTGCCTAATCGTTAATTTACTTCAACCCTTTCCCATCTAACATTATCTAATCCTCTTTCACTTCTATATTCTCTTCATGATTGAATTTTTCCTCACCAGTTAAAGGCGCAGGATAGATAGGTAGCTATTAATTATGAATAGCCGTGTTAAAAGTTCTGTAACCTGTTAAACCTGTTAAAAAATTCAAATGTACCGACAAGTAACCTATGCTTCTGTCGTCAACCAACTGGCTTGCAAAAATTTCTAGTCGAAAATTTCTAACTTTAATCTTTTGCAAAAAATTGAAAATTATTAAAAATTAAATTGGACAAAAGTAAAAAGGTTAAAGGGGCGAGAACCAGAAATAACAATAATTGCAATAGTTCGGATAACCAAAAATTACCGTTTTTCATTCAGAAATTTTCAGTTTCGAACACTTAATAAACCTCAAATAGAATGACTTCATTGTCTCGTCAATTGGATGAATTGCGAACGGCAGTAACGAAGCAGTTAGGTGTGGAACGTAGCCATATTTCCTTATTGTTTGATAAAAGAGATGCTACAAAACTTTATAAAGAAGATGTATTGAAGATCGGTATTTTTTAATCTTCTTTTTATATTTTTTGCAATCAACATTTCCAGTTTTTGATGATCCTTCATGGGCTTAAATTTTGGAGTTTTTCTTGATTTATTATTGATTCTGCTAAAAAGTGTGTGGTTTAATGCTTATTTTTAATTATTTGTTTATTTTATAGGACAAGCTGGTCTTTCTCATTTACGGAAAATTGATCCAGAATTCGCTTCTTCTTCCAATGATTTATTTTCTGATTCAGCTTTAAATTTTCAACGAACTTTATTGAATAAAAATGAAAATAATGAATTGAATGTAAAAATAGACCGTTTACTTGTTGAATTATCTCCTTATTTGTTACATTCTGCTGCTCAACAAATCCTCGAATGGTTGATATTTCGATATCAGGCAAATTCTTTCCCTCATTTTTCTCTTTATATTTTGTTTTTTAAAAAAAATTCGAGGCCAATTCCGTCAGTTTATTATCAATCTTTGAATGTTTATCGCAAATGTTTTTCTATTATCAGAAAAATAGACAATTTATTATTTTCAGATACATACATTCAATGCCCAGTCGGTATTTATCACATTTCTTCCTTTCCATGAATCTAATATATTTGGTCGTCTTTTATCGTTTCTTGATCTGAAAGGCATTGAGTACGATTGGGTGAAGCCATTCGCTAAACAAGCTTTGCCCATTTCATTTGAGAAGCTGGTTGCAAAATGTTTTTCAGCCAATCATTCCATTCTTTCTTTGCTTAATCAGCACATTATGCAAGTTTGTCAGGTTGTCTTATTGCTTATTTTCTCCAATATATTTTACTTTTTTAATGTAAGTTAACAATGTTTTAGTTGTTTGATAATATAACAATATCAAGGAAATTGCCCCATTTATTCACATTATTCTCTTCTTTATGTATACATGCGGTTTCCGATTCGTCGAATGTCAACGATGGGGTTATCTCGAAAATATTACCAATGTTTGCTTTCGGCTTTAAGTAAGTATATGAATATAATTGGAATCTCATTTTTAAGTATCTATAAGTAAGTAACTTTTGATTGCTGTTATGGGAATATCATCAAAGAATATATTTTAAATAGAAGAAAGAGTTATTGCTTTTATAATTATATAGAAAAGGATATTGTTTGTTATTATTTGTAAAATACCACATTTTTAGGTCTACTTTAATTCCATTTCATTTATCTTGTTTGATGGTGACTTGCCAGTTATGTGTTACTGTAACCCTGGCACCGAATATTGTAAAAACATTGTTCAAGTTAATTTTGTTAAAAATCACCACAGGTATTGTTGAAGAATCTATTGCAACGGCAGTTGTTTTGTGTCAGCGGCAGAAATTAGACTGTTTCCCACATAAGTTGGTTTTTACATGATTTTTTAAAAAGATATTTAAAGAATTTATTTTTTAAAATATCTTTTAAATAGATACTGTATTTAATAGTTTTATTGCAGTTTTATTACAGAAGTTCTGGGCAGAATTAGATAATTTGCAAATTCTATTTGTAAATATTAGTGAAATTTTTTTTTCAGGATTTTTTTAAAAAGAAATCACAATTTTTTTTGTTCAGAGTGTTGAAAAAACTCGCAAGGAATGATGAGCCACTGGGAATATCAAAATGCATTACATCATTGTCTAAAATCACCGATTTGCATGCTTTTTTTCAGGCACTTTGGTGTGGTGCGATTCCTTTCCTCATTCAAAATGGTAATGTCTTTGTTGTAATTTGTTTGTTAACAATTTGATTTGATTTTACTCTACACATAATTTACATATTTTTACTTACTGGAAGTTTGGTCATTATTTCAAATTAACCTGAGAAAATTCTTCAGAAAAGAAAGAAGCATGATAAAGCTACTTTTTCTATCTTAGAAAAATCGTTTGAGGATTTTTTCAGGAGATGATGAAGATTTATGTGCTACGATCAGCCTTTTTCTCAGCAGTTGCTTGGCTCACGACTCGCTAAATGCATCCATTATTTCTTCATTCTTTTCCTTCCTTATGGAACTTTTATCTGATCTAAATGGGACGATAAATTTACCAAAAATTTTATGCAGCCATGTTCGAACGCTTGTTTTACGGTAAGAAATGGAAAATTTTTCTGTTTTTTTTTAAAGTATAGTTATTTAGATTCGGTGCGTCTTTCGATGAAGTTAGAAAAGAATGGGAGGTGCGTAATACAACTGTGCTGGATAATTTTATAAAAATTTTCAAAATTCAGTCTTATGAGGTAAGGTATTTTTCGGATTTTTTTTATTAGTTTTTTAGTTTTTTTCTTTAAGAAAATTAAGCGAATTAAGAAAATTCTCTAAAAAAAATATGTCTAAAATTGTTTAAAATACATCATCTAAATAAATATTTAATATTGTCATTTGTCATTCTCGTGAACGGTTGTGTCGATCTTCTCTTCGTCATTAATTCATTAATTATTTCTGCTAAATTATATTTTGCTTCCCTAAAATATTAAAGGAATACATCATCCGCCTTAATAGTCTAAAAGATATTCTTAAAAGTTCTTAAAAGTTTATTGTTTTTATCGTCTTATATCGGGTGCGTATAAGATAAAGAGATAAATTTTGTTTGTTATTTGTGACACTTATTCAAATGGCATCGAAAAAGATGGCAACTAATAAGGTCACTTATGCCAATGATGTCGGTTCCTTAACTGTCGAGGACTTGACAAAACAGTTAGCTTCATTACTGAGAAATATGAAAAGCAACAAGATCTAATTCTTAACCAGATGTATTGAAATACTTACAAAGGTCAACGAAAAACTTCAAAAAACGAAAAACTTCAAAACGTCAAGAAAAGAATGATATCAATAATTGAAAGCCTCGTCTTTGGATGGCAACTTTAAGCCTCCAAAAATCTCAACTGAACAATTATTGTAAACTATTGATGAATATTTTGAAAAAAAGAAAAAGAACCAAGTCTAGTTGGCATAAATAATCCGGATAAATCTACGGATGATGAGACTACTACTGCCGACAGGCTGTTAGCAAAGAATATTGTAGCTGCTGCTGGGATTCAGGCTGACTACATTGAGGAAATTCATCGACATGGAAGGAAGGGATCAAGCAGGCCACGAGTACTTAAGATTCGACTTGAAGATAAGTACATGGCTATGTCTATTTTACGTAATAAGAACTTGCGCCCGATTGTTCCCCATGGAAGCTTTTTGAGGAAGGATCTGACGAAAAGAGAACTATTACTAGACAAATAGTTGCGAAAAGAATTTTATATACGAAATCAGAATCTCAATCTGAAGAAGTATGTTGTCAGAAATCTTCATAGTGGAACTAAGTCAGCCTCGCCAATGATTTACAAGGCGAACAATTTTTCGATTCCAGTTTTCTCCCATCAATTCTACTACATCTTAAGACAACTTGCCAAGTAAGGTTAATAAAATAGGAAGTAATTTATCTTTATATATATTTAATACAAGAAGTTTAAAATATAAACTTTATGACTTACAACTCTTAATAATTGATAACCCAAATAGTTTTTTTGTATTAATGAAACATGGTTGGATGATTCTACTTATAATCAGGAATTAAACTTCGATGGCTTTCTAGTATCACGCAAGGATAGAACAATAAATAGCTTAAATAATCGTGGACGTGGGCTTATCACGCTTATTCCTTATTATTATTAATTTGTAATTTTTGATGATTTTGTCTATTTCTCTTTTGAATTTCTAATAAGTAAAATTTATTTTAATAATAAACATTTTCCTTTTAAACATATACCGCCTAGCTATGGAATTCACTAGGGATCTTTAGAACCTGTTATTTAGGTTAAAATTATTTGGTGCCGATCATGTAATTGTTGGCGATCTTAATATGCCAAATATAGGTTGGGAAAATAGGTTCTTGAAAAACGGCAGCAAATATGAATAGGATTTTCTAAACCTTTGTATATAGGTCTAGAGCATCACGTTAAGATTGCCACTAGGCATAACACTATTTTAGATGTTGTATTAGCTACTTCTACTTCTTTTCTTTTGTTGATAGCATGAAAGTTTTGGAATCTTTTTGTAATAATGATCCCAATATCCTCGCAGAAATAAACTGGGATTTCTTATTTTGTTTAACTCCCTCTGTTGATAAAAAAGTTAACTTTCTTAATAGCATTATTTTATAACTTATAGAGCAATATATCTCTCTAAAAGCTTTAAGTCGATTCCCATTTTTTTAAAATCTCTTTAAAAAAGTGTCAAGAAGCCTAAATATAAATTAACCAAATTACCAAATGAACTCTCTGCATATAAAGAAAGCTTAAAAAATTTCCGTAGCGCCATTCATAATTACTTTTCAAATAAAGAAGAACAACTTTTAAATATTGATAGAAATTCTTTCTGGACCTATATCAAAAGAAAATTTGCAAATCCACGTAAACAATCAATTCTGCAACATAATGATAATATGATCATCTCTGATATTAATATTGCAAATGAATTTAATCAGTATTTTTCTAATGTGTTTATTGAGGATAAATACTCATACTTCCTGTTTTAACGTAAATCGATTTTGTTGCACTTCCCTCTGCGGGCTTGAAGTAACTACTGGATGTTTATGATGCCTTAAATGGACTTAAGCGGTCCATTTCAACTGATCCTGATAATATTCCACAAATAATTTATAAAAAATGTGCAGTTTCATTGAATCTTCCACTATTTTTAATTTAATTTTTAATTTATAAGGATATTATGAAATCTGGTCTTAATCCCAAAATTTGGAAATTGCCTCATAATTCCCATTCATAAAAAAGGAAGCACCTATGACCCTTCTAACTATACACCTATTAGCCTAACATACGTTGGTGGCAAGGTGCTCGAAAGGTTGGTTTGCAATAAATCCTTTACTTGTCTTGATGCCAATAATTTTATATCCCCTTATCAGCATGGCTTTTGTACAAAAAAAATCCACTTCACAAATATTGGCAAATCTTTCCGATTGGTCTGCATCAATTGACAATGGAAAAACAGTACCAGATTTGGCTAAAGCTTTTGATACTGTTTCCCATAGCAAATTACAGATCACTCTTAATAGTTATGGCATTACAGGGCTCTTTATAACTGGGTGTTAGATTACATAAAAGGTCGTCACTAAGTCGTACGTCAGTAACATTCTTTCTGACACAACACCTGTTAAATCTGGTATTCCCAAGATAGTTGTATTGCTTTTTCTATTAATAAATATAAATAAATATTAATTAATAAATATTAATTGCTTTTTCTATTAATAAATATAAATAAATATCACCACAATATGGCACTAAATTTTACTGTTTATCTTTATGCTGATGACTGATGATAAAATTTATTATTCCCATGGTAGAACAGATAGCCTATCTCTCCACTGCAGCAGGTCCTCAACAGAATAGCCAGCTATGTGAAAGGCCCCTTTACCCTTTCCTTTCAAAAATTCGTTCTTCACATCAATTCTAAAGGTTTCGATTTTCCTAATCTTATTATTAATGGTAATATAATCAGTAGAATCTCACAAATTTCTGATCTTGGAATAATCATGGATGAAAATCTCGCCTTCAGCCTTCTCTGTAGAACCATGTTTAAAAAATCCTCAAAGATACTAAATTTTATTTTTCGTTCGTTCAAGAACAAAACTGAAGATTTTCTTATCAAAGTGTACAAAGTGTACATACAAAGCGTCCGTTCGGCCATTTCTTGGCTACTATACTACATATTATTCCCCAGATATCGTAAATCAAGTAAAATGATTGAAGGACTCCAAAAATATTTTATACGGCGCCTCTCTCACAATTGCAGTTTTAATTATAAAAGAATATAACCTGGATTCTCTGTCAGTTCGTCATATTAAATAAGATTTAATTTATACTTATAAGATTTTGTATGGTTATGTTAAACTAGATTCAAAATTTTATAATTTTAGGTTAAATTTAAATCCGACAAGAACTAATGGGCTAAAATTATTAAAACCTATGTGTAAAACCAAACTAAGGACTCATGATTTCTTTATTCTTAATATTAATTTTTGGAATGAATTACCGAACGACATAGCTTCTGCGCCATCCCTATCTATCTTTAAAAAAAGAATGGATAATATCATTTATGATATTATTTAAAGAATTCACATCATGCAGGAAGTGTGAAATCTCGATTTTTACCATCCGATTATTTCGATTATTTTACTATATTATATTATTTTGCAATTTCCCCTTTATTTCATCTTTAAATTGTTTATTTTATTTTATTATTTTTTTGTCTTAATTCTTGTTATTTATTATTTAACTGTTGTTATTAATAAAAGCACATGGCGTTTGTGCCCTGCTTGGCTGGTTTTCAATAAATAAATAAATAAATTATATTATATTAAAAAAATAAATTATTTATCGAAGATTGGTGATATTGCTGTGGATCTTTCAAAACCAAAAAAAAAACGTCAAAGGTATGGTAGTAGATTGTGGCAAAATGCAAATGAAGAAAATAGAGATACATGTGATTCCAAACGGTCAAAGCATGTAAGTTGTAACTAAAATAACAATAAAGAAATGTCTTGAATCATTGGCAATGCCATCATTTTAAATACCTTATAAATTTCTTTACTTGGAGTGGAGTTCTCTTTGTTGTTTTTATTTTCTTATCTCTCTTGCTTTAAATTATTTTTGAAATCAGGTCGAAAATGCAACAAAGCCAGACGATCGCATTAACGCTTTAATTGGGCCCTCTAAAATTGAATTCAAAGGCAATCCAGCCGAAGAAGTGGTTGAATTAATAGAATCGAAACATTGGGAACTCGCAAAATCTGCATTAAATGTATTTTTATATATTTTTTTTTTATATGGCTACAAAGAAAGCAAGTTTTAGTCGTTATTTTTAGAAACTTATATCTCCAAGCTATCAAAAATGTTATGAAGCATCAGATTTCGAAAAGATCATTTTAAAATTGATCAAGATCGTATCAACTTCTAATATTCCAATCAAATCTGATTTGAGGAAGGCCCTATCGCAAGTTGGTTTTTATTTATGTCGCTTTTGCATAATTTTATACATAAGTTGCATAATTTGGCGTCAAGTTCTGGCATTTTCTAGATGAATTGTTATTTTTCGTTTTTGATTGGTATTTTTGCTGGCTTTCTTGTGGTTTTTAATGTCTGCTAAGTATATTTTTATAGTGATATTCACTGGTCAATCACAGGTTATTGTTTTAGCATTTAGTTTGAAATTGATTTGCAGCTGCCTATTAATAATGAATTCGCTCTCAATCTTTTACGGAAAGTTGAAGAGGAACCAGTTAGGAAACGTGGTAAATTCACAATTTCCCAAATGAATTTTGTTGGTGAAGATGATGTGGCTTATAAAAATCGATTGACGTTTGTACTGGAAGTACTTCTTTCTAATGAAAATGTAATAGCCTCAGCAAAATTATTGCTAATTTTGTTCGACCTCGTCAAAGAGTTAGTTTTTTTTACCACTGTAATTTTTAGTCATCATTGCTATTATTATTATTTTTAGAGCACTAAATATGGAAGAGAATGAAGATTCAGTGGAATTCTATATCCAGCAGCTGGCTATTTCGTTGCTTATTCGTCTTCTAAAAAACCCACGTAATTTTTTTATGCCTTATCGCATATAATCTAATCGCATCGCAAATCCAAAAAGAAATTTATGCTTTCAGATGGTTATATTATCAAAAAAGAAGATTTACATTTGGATTGTATAGTAGAGGCAATCCGAAGCACAAATAATCACCGAACTCTTCGCGATTGCTTACGACTTTTGACAGCTTCTTTTCATATTTCACCTGTATATTTTGTTTTTTTTTAGATTTTGTTTTAAAGGAGTTTTTCTACTGCTAATTTTAAAAAATTGAACTGAAGATCAAAATGAAAAAGAAAAGGTACATTATGTTTAATCATTTTATTTAAATTTTATTTAAATTTCATTTTTTTAGAGCGGTGTTCTCACTCAGATTATGTCTGTTTTTACATTTATGGGTTCTGGATTATTGAAAAGAGATAATGATTTAACTCTGGGTATTATTGAAGAGTCACTCAATATTGTGTTTTCCGTTGTGGTAGATGAGCAGGTAATTTTGGAGAATTTATCGGTATATTCATAAATTACATATTGATATTAATTAACCGATACTTTTGTAGGATAAAACATATCATGAGCGACTTTTAACAATTTCTCGTATATTTACGACTTCAATAGTAGATATACCTGTTCATCGTCGTGCTAGAATCCTTCATGCTGTGGCAAGCGCAGCAAATTATAATAATTTATGGACTATTATAGCAGTAATATTTGAATATTATTGCATTAATTGGCAACGAAACGATGTGTTTAAAGGTATTTTTTCTTTTTTGATTACTTATTTTGAAGGAAAACAAACAGGACAAAAGCCATACGCTTATATTTTGATCATAAATGCAATACTAATGACATGATGATGAACAAATATCGAACAATAAATATCGTGTAATTTATCTTTAAAACCTGAAGCGAGTGGTGAAGTCTCAGAAGAAAAAGAAAACTCTGAAGAAAACTCTTATTAGAATTAAAAGTTCTTATCATCAAGCATTAAAAGAGTTGAAGGCGCGATCATTACTTATAACTTCAAATTTATATTGAAGGACAAAAGTAAGAAAACCACAATTTTTGCAAGCGTCACTGCCAAAGGTCCTATTCTTTGCTATTATATCGAATCTCATTGATCTATGTTATGTCCAAATAAAACGAAGGGACATCTGAGAATGGCCAGTAGGTTAACGAATCGTTGCAATTGTCGCAATCCGACAATATTTAGAAATTCCCTCAAGTTGGTTGTACGTTATGTCATTAAGAGCATGAATTGGTGTATGCCATTATTTAAGTCGTGGAACCATTGATCTCATATTTATTTTGGTGTGTCTAATTGTAGCAGCTGAAAGCAAACTGTTATTTTACCATTATTTAACTGAGAAATTTTCTAAAATTAAATTAAATTAAATTAAATTTTCTAAAATTAGTTGATTTAGGTCGCGAAACTGTTGAAATGTTCGAAGAAATGGCTTCAGAAATGACATCAATTTTTACTTTTGATCAACAACTTTCATGTGCGATTGATTTAATTGAATATATAATGTATTTGGGCAGTGATTTTGATTGCAAATATCCTAGTTCGTCATTTACTGTCAGAAATGGTATCCGTAACTTCCCAGTGATTTTTGAACGTTCGAAATATTCCATTCAGAAGTTGCGACATTACCGTTTTAGCATTATGGGTTGGATTGCTAGAAAATTATCGAGTAACGATCTTTTCGACAGGGTGAGTTATTAACTTTTCAATTCCTATAAAATTTGATAAATTAGAATATAGTTTTTAAAAATGCAGATAATCGATTCGGATGATGAATATATACATAAAAGTCTACTAATTATTGGAAAAAGGGTATTTATTTCGTCAATGGAATTAGATGAATTTATTAATGTAAATATGGAAGAAGCGATAAAACGTGATAAAACTCATCCATCGAATGATAAAGAAGGAAGTGAACGTTTAGGTCCTGAAATTAAATATTGGATGGCACTATCATCTCGTGCTGATATCGTTGCTGAAAAGGTTTTAAATCATTTTTTCCATTATTTTCTTATTCCCATTCGTTTTACTTTTCAAAATATGTTGAAAATGTTTATGTGTCTGGCTTTTATAGTTGCGGAATTTACTCCCAGCAAATATTTGTGCCCAACTCATCAATCAAATTTTCGAAAAAAGTGTAGAAGAGCCGAAAATGCGAGATCGTGCTATGCAATTATTGAACAACAAACTTTTTTATGATAATCAGTCCCTCACACACATCCAAATAAGTCCTGATTATTTAAATAAATTTGTCGAGAAACTGAACGGTTGGATTATACCGACTCAAAAGAAAGATGAAGTATCATTTTTATTTTTGTTGTATTTTTATTGTGGCTGTATATGATTGCTAATAGTAAATAGAGATTAAGAGCGATTTATGAAGATTTTTGAATTTAAATATGATTGCGAATTAATTCAATGATAACGCCACTAAGAATTTAATCTGTGATATTTTTAAACATTAATACCTAAAGGAAAAAAGCTAGAATCCTGAGTTTTCTTGAATAATGATCTTACCATTATAGATTATTCTATGTCAGAATGCTGCATTTACTTTAAAATTGGTTGCAAAACGTCTTCGATCTGAAGAAAATCACATATATTTTACCGACACGCTCACAAGATGTTCGAAAATTGTAAGTTTATATTTTTTTAGTTCTGTATTGTAAGCAAATAGTGATCGAGATTAATTAACATGATAAATTTTCTTTTCATATTTTGAACTCATTTTCTTAAGTTGGAAAACTGGCGATCTTTCGATGAAGCATTAATTGGAAATATATTTTTATTAATTGGGGAATTAATCAAATCAAAGAATGCTCCTTCCATCGTCATAGTAAAATTAGATATCTTTATGAATGCTTGTATCGAATTTATGAAGAAACAACTAGATAATTTTGATAAAAATGATGAACACTTAAACGAGTCGGATTCTGTTGAAATTCGTCGAAAACGATTCCGTCAACAATCCCTAAGTGGTCGTCGAATTGGTACATAATTTATTTATTAACATTTTTATTAGTAATTTACTCATATAAAAACAATGCTTTGCTATTGTTACTTATTTTACGTAATGTTATCAACTACTATTACGTGAATGTATAATTATGGATTTTATGATTGATAGAATCGATCAGAAAATTCTATTTTTTTTGTCGCTCGATTTTTGTTATAGGTGGTGATGTATTATTGCTTTGTGCTATAACTTGTCTTCAACGAATAATGGATAAATATGCTCAGTTTATATGCCAGCATTTCGTTGATATTATGATGCTTTATTCTCTACTGATTGCTCGATTTGATGCGCAGTTGCTCATGGTATATTTTTATTTTTTGATTATCAGCTCTCCATTTATTGTATTGTATTTATTGTAATTTCTAAATATTCTAATATTCTTTTTGGAAATAATTAATGCTTTTATGATTTTCTTAATAAGTTCCAATATGCTTATCGTGTTGAAATCTTTTATACTTGGAGGTCTTATAAACTTTAAAAAGGATATAACAGATCTTTTCAGATCGATCATGTTGATGGAGATATTTCTGCATTGCAAAAACTTACGAATGTTCAACATCGATTGGTGCAAATTAAAAAGTGTTTCATGAAAGTCGAAACAAGATTAACTTTGGAACCATTTCAAAAAGCTATCGAGAATCTGATTTTTCAACCAGTAAGCTTTTTAACTGGATATTATCTATTTTCTAATTTCAGTATTTTTTTAAAATTTTTTTTTGCTTTCTTTTTATTAATGAATCGGATTTTCCCTATTAAACAGTTGTATTTTAGAAAGGCTTAGTGGCGCTCTTATCGTTATTATCCTCTTGTCTTGAAGCAGAAGGCGGAAAGAATTGGTTGAAAGGTCTTCCATTTATCTTTGATACCTTTCTTATTGCATTTTCGCTGAGGATTAAAAATCCCTCATTGAAGGTGGTATTTTTGATAAATGAGAATTGAATTTTTCATAATTAAATTTTTGTTTTTTTTTGTTTTTTTTACTGATAATTCTTTATAGATTGATGAATTAGCCACTTATGAAGAAAAAATTATTGATTCAGTTCTGCGAATAATCGCTTGTCTCTCAGAAAATCAAATTAGACCTTTCAATAAAAAATTATTCAAATGGACAGAGCCAATGATTAAAAACGCTAATAGTTTTGGAATCATAACAACATTCAGTTTCCTGAATCGGTGAATTTTTTTCTTTTTTTGCTGTTAGGTACATTAAATACATTAGACGATAAAGATTATTTTCGATTAAAATAAATTTTTAGGTTTACGTTTATAATCCTATTTTATTTGGTTTTAGTGAAGGATTAATTTTGTAAGAAAAATTAATAATCGCTGAATAATTAGAAGTTCAGTTTGTTTTTTAATTTATTCTATTTCTGATTTGATGCAATGTTCCTGTGAAAAGATTTATGAAAATTTGTGAAAAGATTTGTGAGACAATTTATTGATAAAAATTGTTAAAGGTATCATTATTTTTAGATTTTATGATTCCTATAATACGTTAGCTTTACCTCATTTTGGTCGTATTTTTGAAATTGTACCTACAATTTTATCATTATATAATGGCAATGCCACAGGTAAATACAGTTTTGAGCATTTATTTATTTAATGGAGTTTTATACTAATAATAATTAAATGAGCCTGTCACGACAGGTAGATAATTGTTGTTGTGAAATCATGGTTTGGCCTCTGCTTCAACAATGCATTTTCACCGAAAAAAATCGAGAAAATTATTTATTTAGATGGTGGACCACATATATCCTCATTCCCAGTTTAATCCTAGATGAAGAAGAAAAAAATTAGAAAAGAAGAAAAATCTTGTCTTATTGAACTAATGAAGAGTTTAGTGGGCTTAGAGCAATACAATAAAGAAGAATCAAGAAGATATAGCAGTGGAGGCTTAAGGAAGAAAAAGGAGGAAGGCGGAGTATAATGAGAGTTCAGTTGAGACATGTCGGATATAATAAATGAATGATTGTCAAAGGAAGGTAATAACAATTTCCCAGTTTTAGGCCGGTAGCCACACACCCACATATTATTAGCACGATAAATTATTTCATAGATGTTTTATGGCAAATCAAAGATCGAATTAAGTTTTAATGGGTTTTAATGGTTCTTTCTGGAATATTTATCTTTCATTCTTTGCAGATTTTCGTCTTTTTAAAGGGAGAAAAAATTCTACTGAAAAATTGTCAATTAATATCATTATCAAAACTGTTATACAGTTTGTTAGCAACTGTGCTAAACATCCCCAGTTTTTCACAATGTTAGTTAAAGGAGATTTTATTTTTAATTTTTCAGAAATTATTTATCATTTTTTGATTGCTTCATAATTTTGATATTTTTAAGCGAGCGCGCTCAGTCGGTGCTTAATCCCTTAATTGATGAACTTGATAATAAAGAGGTGGATGGCCATGAGCAAAGGTGTTTACATCTTGCAGATTGTCTTCTTTATATTGCAGATTCCCATAATGATTTATTATCAGAAGTAATGAACAAGATTATGTTGAAAACGAGAAGTGTGTCGTCGAAGGTATTAACTTCATAGCTAATAATTTGTAATTTGTAATAATAATGATAACAATAAGAATAATAATAATTAATTTTTAATATAAAAAACCTTTTGAGGTTCGATACTGTACTCTTCTTGTGCTTGAAAGAATGTTTGAACGTATTGGTGATGCCATTGCTCCGCTCTTACCATCTGTTTTGCCGTTTCTTAGCGAAGTATTGGAAGGTAAGCTTATATTCATTGATTTTCGATCTAACTGAATTAAATAACAGATTTGTTCCAAATCCACTGGAAAAATGTTATATAGTATTACACATTTGTTTTTAAAATATTTATTGCTATTAGGAAATTTTTTAATTCAAATTTTAGTGTGATTTTTATACTTTAGATGAGAATTCAAAAGTAGAAGAACAATGTGATAAAATCATTTGTATTCTGAGAAGAAAATTTGGTGAAGATATTACCGAAGGTTATCTATAGATTGGTTCATATTCATATCATATCTTTAATGGTATGAATCTCCCCTTTATAACCGAATTATGCTTTTTAATTTTTTGTTTTAGAAGAGTCATTAAATATGTAAACCATTGTCATTAAAAATTACAATAATTAGAATGGTCATTTGAGCCATAGCATTAACCAATGGTCTCACCTTCGTATTTTTCATTTTTCCTTATTTACTTTCCTTCCTTTTCCTTTCAGTTCATTTTTTTCTCATATCTCTTCACCATTAATTTTCTTCATGCAGATCCCATATCTAATTTCACAATTTTTGCGTCTGTACAGCATCCCTAAATACCTTTTTTTTATTATTTTATTGTTTATTATCCTCTTGTTATCTTAAATATAGTTAGTTGCTTCATATGAATGTAATGTTTTATAAAAAGTGAAGAAACGCGCTTGTCGAAATTATTTGATATCAGTTCATCTGAAATATGTATTCTCCAGACCGGAGTTAATTCTTTTTTACCTTGAAACGAGTGTTGTTCACTTTTTTGTTTTTTAATTAAAACTTTGAACGAAAAGCTTTGAAATTGAAAAAATGGAAATTAGAATCAAAGATTAGATTAAAAAGTGGAAAAGTGGAAATGAAAGTTAACTATAGTGGGAAATATAAATCAGCTTCATCTATGCAACTGTGGATTTGGATATATGGTCCATTACTTCCTGGTGCGCAGATATGATTGGACTGTCTTCATTTTACTTTACTTCGAAAGAACTTAACGCTTTATAAAGTAAAATTAAGAATATTTGTCAATGAATTTATCAGTACACAATTTAATCATGAGTCACTTTCCTTCGATAATTTCATCGGTGAAGTGCACATGCACATGAACAATGTAAAACATGAACAATGAAATACCATTGTTCTTAATGACCCTGGATTGCACGAAGATTCGACCAAAGCTGGCAAACAACTGAAAAACGAGACATGAGATTATTTCGGCATAATCTACTCATTTAGAGGAAAACAGTTGAAGAGGGGGTTCGAGATAGGTGAATGAAGGCAGACAGAAAGTCTTTGCAAGCGATAGTCTGATAATAAAAAATATCAAAATAGATTTTTTAAAAGGCCAATAAGTGAAATTGAGTTTTTCTCAGAAATTCAAAATTTTCAACATTTTTCGTTTGAATTTCTAGTTTGACTTTGATTTCTAGTTTGAAACTTTTTTTTCAAATATTTTGCTACTGAGGGCTAAAGCGTTTCATTTCTATCCTGTGTCAAGCTTGGAAATAAATAACAAAAGTCGCTCATTTTTCCACGTCTAAGCCCATCATAGGCGCTCGAAACCCACATAGCGCAAGATTTAGCGAGATGTCTTCAAGCGATTGGCTGTGAAGAACATGAAATAAACAACCTGCTTAAACAGAAATCAACTTTAAACACTTTGTTCAGCAATTTTTATGATAAACTAATTAATGAAATTTTCATATTCGAACCAAATATATTTTAATATTTAATATTTAATAAAACATTGAATTTCCCTTTTTTTATATTTTATTATTCCACGTCAATTTTTTTTTGAGAATCCTCACCATTACTGGTTAAACGAGCTCTGCTGGCTTGTCGCACTGGACAAATATGCCAGGGAGTCCCTCGGCGATAGAAGTACAGGTGAGTCGCCAGGCCACCACCCGGATTCTTGGACAGGTTTACTCCTACGGGGAATGGAACCTCAGCATCGACGCTCCAGAATTGAGCAATAACCCACTGAGCCATTCTATCTTTATATCAATTTTTACGGTTCTTTATATTGAATTTGATTAATAATTGCAAGATCCAGCAAAAAACATCGGACAAATTTGTAAAAGAATTTTATAATAAAAATGAAGAAAAGAACGAACTGAGTGGACCATCTCGACATGCATTGGATGAAAAGCCAATAAAGTTAGAATATTTTAATTATTCATTTAACCGAATTTGACGTAAATTTTTATAGATAAATTTTTGAACACAAGGATTATAATCTCTTCTAACTGTATTTTTGGTTTGCTACACTGATCAATGAATTCCTTTACGAGAGAGGCTTAGCGATAAGATAGAAAGACAGGTGAAGCCGTAGCATCGTCCGCATTTTTAATGACAAGTTTATTCTCGTCGAGGAAGAGTCGGAAGAACTGAGCCAATGGTGCGTGGCCTTTAAGTAGCACGCATGCCTCACACATCCTTTTATTTAGTTGGAACTAATATAACCACCTCCAAACTACCTTTAAAGCGAATCACTAAAATAATCAAAGCGCTTGATTCTTCCACTGATAATAACGAATTATAAATGTTATTCTGCTAAGCGCTAGCAGAAAAAAATCAAAAAAGTCTCTCACCATGATCGCCAAACAATTTCTAAAATATCTCTCTTTATTCTAGTATATTTTCTCTATCTACTTGGATAATTCAGATACACTTCCTCATTCCCACATAGTAGGGATAATCCAAATATGTTTCCCACTGTCAGGTTAAGAGAGGAAACAGTCGATTTTTAAGTGATTCAACTCTTGCTTCTGAAAGTCCTTAAAAAATCTCTGCAGTCGAAATATAATAGATGTCAAAATAGAAATGGTACTATTAGAAGAGAACCTATGTACATCATTTTATTAAGTCAAAGTTATTTAAAATTTGAAGTGTCATTGGACAGTTAGGAATAAAAATGATCAGGAAATATTTTCTTATTTTACTTAGCAACATTAACGATATGGAGGTTAAACGGCCCAGTGGGTTGTCTCTCAATTGGGAGCGCCGATGCTGAGGTTTCATTCCCTGCAGGAGTAAACCTGTATAAAAATCCGGATGACGCTGGCGGCTCACCTGTATTTCTATCGCCAAACTTCCTGGGATATTGTCCAATGCCACAAGCCAGTGGAGCGAGTTTAACCAGTAATGGTGAGGACTTCTAAAGAAAAAACAATGGCTTAACTTTTTTTTCATAAATTTAATATAAGCACAAAAAAATAAGGCACAAAAACAAAGAAACAAGATATCAAACGCGTCGCAGCATATTCAATTCAATTGGTGATTATTATCATCAATGTAAATGTAAAAAGTAATTTTTTAAAAATACCACTTAAACCATTAGCAAAATTAGCAAAAGCGGTGAAAAAGCACATATAAAAGAGCAAACGAAGCATAAAAATTAAGAGCGAAATTAATTAAGGAAAAGTGAACAACGAATGCTATGAAACAACTAAATTAATTTTAAAAATTCATAAAATAGGTGAAATATATGAAATTAAGTGAAGCAAATCGACTAAGAAAAGGGAAATGTGAAAAAACCAATAAGCGACGTTGGATTTCCTAAGCCTTTGCTCATTTTCTATATTTCAATAACTATAATAAATTCATGTTGCTATAGTACATAAGAATCGGTCAAGTGGCATATTGCTGGCGTGTCACACCACTATTTGAAATGAAGCATCAGGATTCGAACTGACTTTTGAAGTAAATCCTTATCATTAAAAATGAAATCCGAAAAATCCGTTGATGACTGGCACGCGCTTTAAAGGCAACAGCAACAGCGTTTTACCCAAAAAATATGGCAATAATTAGGTAAATAATTACCTAATGAGCACATGACGAAGATACTTTACTATCTACGGCATTGGGACCCGCCATGCCAACGCAGCACACAGCTATGCTGAGAAGCAAGTAAATGACTTGAACAATGCATTTCTATTACTGATTCTGAAGATGATAGGCTGCCACAATTATTGAGAAATCATTTAGCTAGATGATTTCTGGGAAAGTTTTTGCTGAAGAGACTCACGGCAATAAGAAAGCTAATTTAAACCAGGATGTAGCAAGTAAATTTTCACGCTGAGAAGAGTACTAGAATCTCATACTTTGCCGTTGCTTTTGATTCCATTAACATCAACATTCTAGCAAATTTACAATATGACGGTATTCCAGAGAAGTTAATCAAATTTAACAAAATACGTTATCAGCACGTCAAAGCAGGCATGAGTATAGAGAATTGACCTAATATTTCGAAACAAACACCTGGTTACAAGTAAAAGTTTTTTCTTTTAAAGTTCGAAATAGCCAATAAACTACGTTATGGACACCGCTTACATTCAAAAGGGCCTATAGAACTCAACATAGAACATAGTACAGACTTTCAATACATTAATTATGTTCTCTTTTCGTTGAGAGTTACGAGAGCTGGAAATACTTATGAAGAACAATAGATGCTTAACCAAGACTCGACAGCAGTAGAGAAAATTGGCATTCAAATCCATGTAAATAAGATTATGTTCTCTTTTTCTAACTATCAGATCGCTAATAAAATCACAATTTACATAAATTCATCAACTGCCAAAAAAATGACATTTTAAATTACATTTTAAATGTCTTGGATTCAGCCCCATGCCTAATGGCTAAGAGAAAAATAAAATTCCATCATGAATGGATGCAGCAAGAAGCGCCTCCTTTCGTCTGGCGAAATATCTCTGGAATCGCTGCGAAACCAGTTTCAAAATTCCGCACCTATCCAGCTATAGGTATATGGAAAAACTACCCAATGAGAGCGGTAGAAATCTGCCTTTAACCATTATTGCATACTCTAAGTGTATATTTTACATCCGCTAAGTGGACAGAGTTTGCACTGCATCGATCTTCGCTCGAATACCATTTGCATTAAGAATATCGTCACAAAGCATCGTCTCCCCTGGTTTGGCCACGTTCTTCGTCGCCCATCATAGGAATTTCTACACATCTCACTATTTTCTAAGCCTTTTGATGGATGATATCAAAAGCAAAAAAAGCCAATCAAAACTTGAAATGATTAGAGGAGATTTTGGATATGCGGCCCAGCGGTATACTATGTTAGGCGATGAAAAATTCGTATTGTATAAAACCTTAATCTATAAAACCTTTTTTCTGTACATAGGTTGATTTCGCAACGGCTCTAAAAAAGGACAACTGGAAGAATTCATTTTTAGCTGTCGTTATTCGAGTTGTAATATCGGCTTTTGTCTAGCTATTTGGCATTAAAGTGGATCCAAGGTATTTAAAATCGAGCCTTAACCGATAATAAAAAGAGGCATTTTATGAGCTTGTACATAAGATGAAAAGGCTTTCGTTTTATTTACATTACACCCTGTACATTTAGCATTATTTCGTTTCGTTTTAACTGTCAGCAAAAAGGACTACATCACCAGCGTATTCAAGGCTTGTAATATGCTCTGGACTGCTTTGTACACCTCTTGAATGCAGACAAATGATGACCACTATTCAATCTGTCGCTAGTTGAATACTGTAGGAGAAAGGGTAGACAACCTTGATGGACACCAGTTCTTGTTTCGAAAGAATCTATCAGTTCCGCATATACATAGATCTGCGCCGACGTATGCTCATAAAATGCGTCGAATGATCATCTCTGGAATACCGTCATATTCCATCACCCTCCAAAGCACCATTCTATCAGTTGAATTGAAGGCAGCTGCAAAGTCGATGAAACACATAAACGGTGGATTGCAGATATTTGAAACGTGGATATCTGGTTAGCATAACCGTTCCTGGGTCTAAATCCAACTTGTTAGGGTGCATCCTGTTATACCTTATAGCCATAAATCTATTGAATAAAAGTGAAGTAAAATTTCTGCTGAATCTAGATAGAATGATTCCTCGGCAATTGTTGCAGTATATATCATGTCGTCACTTTTCTCAATTGGGAGCGGAATTGCTTTGTTCCAATCATCTGGTAGTATTTAGCAAAAAGTATTGATGGTGCGTTATGAAGAAAGAAGGACAACATTTGAAGAGTTCAGCTCGGATGCATCTAGTCTTATTGGTCTTAAGCTTGTGGATAAGGGAAAGATTCTTCAGTTGGCGGTTCCCAAGTGCAAACGTATGGTTCGACGAACGTATCAGCTATATTCCGAGGCAACTGATGTCGCATCACAGTTAAGTTTGTCATCAAAGAATTCCTTCCACTTTTAACAGGCATACCATTGCTATCCCTTACCATTTCACTGATTCTAGTTATAGTTGTTTTATGAAGGCGAAATTTTCTATTGTCGCCTAATCGACCGGTCATCTCTATTCTCAAAACAATATCATCCAACCCTGTTGCCATTGCAATTCTTCGGAACATTCAGGACATCCGACATCCAGGATCTCCTAACATTCATGCTTTGGCTACCTTTTCAGACAGCTGGACAGTTGCTTCCTACAGCGCATTTCTTATTAGCATATTCTAGTGTATAAATGGCTAATTTTCATTACTTTAACTGAGGTCAGTATCTAAAATTTAGAAATTTGCTTGAGGATTCATGATTGTATGGTAGGATAAGGAAAGTATAATAAACTATAATCAGTAAGAAATAATATTCAAAACAAATGGTGCCCCGCCCCGTTACCCCTTCCAAAGAACGCAATCCACAGCGACACTCTGGCGAAATTCCAGTAGTCATAGTGCAGTAGCGCAGACATCCCAGTCACAAATGATCAACATTGTTAGAAGAACGAAAGGAAATACCTAACGAGGAAAGTCGAGGGAACTGGATACTTCGAATTGGTCGCAATCATTCACCTCAAACAGCGAAAATACAAAAACCACTTAATGAAAATGAAAATTTAGGAATAGCGACAACTGTTCATCTTAAGTTAAATCTTCAAATCCGACAATTTAATAGTAAAGCGAGTGTTAATGTTGAGCGAAAATGTTTTTTTCTTGTGTTGACGAAAATATCGACGAATTAATTTTTTAAAAATTAAAAAAATTAATAAAAAACGATAGTGATAGCAATAGCAAAAAATAAAGTAAAAAGAATTCGTGCTATAGCCATCAAACATCTTTTCACTATGTGGCGTTTCTTCACAAATTTTGGTCGATTCAGCAAGGTCGAGTGTTTTATTGCTTCACCCATCATTGGTTCGGTCCTTAGCCCTAGAAAGGAACGAATCTATTATTAAAAATGAAACTAGAATAGCATCTGTATTGGAAGAGGAGAGAGAAAGTTAATGAAAGTAAGAAGCGACTGATTATTTTAGTCATTTCATGGGTCAATCATCGTCGCACTCATTGTCTTCTTTGCTTTCTGCTCATATATGCTAAATCCGCCATAAGTATTATTAATTATTATTAGCTGATTCAGTCGGAAAAATCTACTGATCGCCTTTCATTTCCAAAAAGAAATCAATTAAGCTTATTCAAAAATATTCGACCAGCTTAAATAAATCGAAAATTATCAATTATCCGGAAGAATCGTGAAAATTTCTGGAAATTTAGTCAAGCACATGAAGGAATTTAGAACGACGGATGCGAGAGAATCTTAAATCGCATATTGCATAAAAATAAAAGTTAATTCTTCAAAAAATCTTCGCAGTGCTGGCAAAAAATTACAACTCAATAATATTTCGCTAACATCGAATTCAATGGTTCTTAATGTTTTGTCCTCTTTGCACATCCCTTTCTGCCGTCTCCTCCGGCTTTTGTCCACTCTCTTAAAAGTTTTCTTTTCGAAAGATTGAAATGAAACTAGGATTCCATCTTTAAGATTTATTTCTTAAAAATTTTCTATCCATCTGATTGTTAATTTTCAATGAGCTACATTATTAGCCTAATCTATCGAATTTCTTAAAGAAAAGGCTTATGCAATAATAACAGAATGGAGTGTATATATATCCGTGGCATCTTGTCGTGTGGAGTATGTGTATATCCGTGACAGCCGGTTGTGTGTCGTGTGTGTATCCGAAATGCCGGAGTCCTCGATGAAAGATAAAGACAACAAGTGTGGCAGGTTTACATATATATATATATATATATACGTGAATACTAAATGATCGATTTTGTATTTGATATTGACATATTTTTAATATGTGTGGCCTTCAGATATCTGTTGTATGTGCATACCAAATCATTTGCATTTGAATTGAAAAAAATCGAATCCGCGATAAATGAAGATTATGGCAATTCTATTAAACATTTTCATAAAAAGCAAAATTTAACTTTATTGATTTCAAATCACAAAAGGTGACCAGAATAATGATTTGTACATATATATATATATATATAAATTAAAACAATTTCATTCCAATTCCATTTCCTCATTTTCTGTAATATAAGCGAAGCAATTAGCGAATGGTAAAAAAATGGTAAGAAATGAAAATTCTCCACGGTACGTCGAAAAATCCTCTGCTGATTAAACGGTTTCCGAGCATTCGACCCGATATTTATCAGAAGAAATTAATGGAAGGCATTTCTTTTTCCACCACCTATGTCCATTGCCGCTGGTCCACATATACGTCCATCACACGGCTTAGCAAGAAATATGTGTCGGTTCCTACTGCGTTTGACAAAACCTGCCTTAACCAGTGAAAATGCTCTATGATAATATTCATTATGATATTTTCCATGAAGCACGCAATTATTCTATAGATGAAAGTTAAATTTATTAGCTTTTTATGGAACTATCTTATAGTAAATCAAAAACTTCGAGAAGTTTCACTTGTATTGAGCAGATTGATATGCACATATTTTTTATTTGAAACACCAAAAACTGTTTAAAAATCCATAAGATCCTTCTAACTTTTGCTTTTATATTGAGAAATGCCGAGATTCCCATCGTTCATATTGGTTATTAGTGACAAATGGCGTGAGATCAAAATGTTTTGCCAGAAGCTGTTGCCTTTAAACTGACTTTTAAATCTTATCTACCATTTGTTCCATCCATTTAAATTGTATTAAACAACTCCATTTTTTCAAATCGTTTAAAATGTATTGACTATTTCCTATTACCATTCATCAAGTTATTGATGCAATAAGGATTTAAAAGAATCAGCTGTTCATCACTGAACGATATAACCTTTCCTTCGAAAAATGCGCCTTATAAGGGTCCCTCAGCTACAGTTTTCTTAATTTCCTTAAAAATAATTTGTTTAAGCATAGGAAAGTTTGCAAAATTTTTTTCTTACACAAGGCTTATTCGAAGAGAAATATTTCTATCCCACAGTTATGCATGATATAATCTATGAGAAATATGCCAATTGAAATGATGAATCTTAAGGTTTTTATCAATTCAATTCATCCTTGCTAGCAAAAACCACTCGTTTGATATAGCTCAAATGAATGTGGTAGAGTACTGCGACTTATTTAAAACTGGTTACAAAAGAATGGTGCTTGTAAATAAATGTTTAGCATTAAGTTTAGCTAACTGCTTTGCTGCAAAATTGTGGGTCTCTATCATTACTTTAGATTTGCTCTCAACGGAAGCTGAGAAAGAAAAATTTGAAGTAATAGCTGCAATTTTAAAAAAAAAAAAATCAGATAGGACAATTGAATACAAAATATAAACTTTTGAACCTTTTTTTTCACTTAATATTTAAAATAACAGCCTAGCATTTAACGCTTAAAATTTAAAATTAAAATTATCTTTAAATATTTAAAAATAGAATTTTGTTTAAGATGACTTTTATCCTCAAAAAACTTCAAATTTGCATAACTTTGAAAAATATATTGAATTTTATTTGTGAGATTCTAAACTTGAAGTCCAAATGTAAAATTACAATCGACCGAAATTAAGTTGAAAAGCAAAAAAAAAAAATAATATTTGTAAATCTATAGTTTACACTAATATATTTTCTGAAAATTTAAAAATTTAAGTAATTTAAGTTTTAAAAAAAATTAATTAATTTGCGACTTTCGCATTTTTAGGATTTTATTAATAGATTATGCAAACGATTGCTTTTCATCACTTTTATTAATGGTTTTTAATCATCGGCCTTATTGGCAATCCTTTGCAATCTAAGAAGCCTTTTTCCGAAGAATGCTTTAAAAAAACATAATTATAAAAAAATAATGCTTTATTTTCATCAACAATTTGAATTAAAAAATTAGTCGGTATATAGATCATCATCTACAATTTTCTTGCATTTAGAAATAATAATAAAAGCATAATTCAAGAAATCCTCTTTTGTCGAAGCTTGTATCCTTGGATTTAGCATATTTTTCAAAGTTGCTTTTTTCAACATCCAATGAATAGAATTTTTTCTACTAAATAAGGTCTGAACAAATGGAAATCAAAAGGAGCATTGTCAGGACTACAAGGTGGTTGAGGTACTTCTCAGCCAAACTTCTTGCTTTTTTGTGCATTTTTCAAAACATGACCATTTTTATTTTAAAGAATTACACCTTTTCTTTTTGGCTGTTTGCAAGCAATTTCAATGAAATATAAACATCAGAGGAAAAAAACTGCCGCTCATAATGTATTACTTCTTTTATTTAGTTTAAAATATTTATTTTTATAATTTATTTTTAATTTTAGTTTTTAATTTTTATAGTTTTTAATTTATATAATTTTTTGCCGCAAATGCCGTGCACTTTTTGCTAACATTTATTTCGTTGTTAATCACTGGCGTTTAAGTTATAGAGTATCTAATCAATGATAAATTGATCCAGAAATGGTTCTTTTTCCTTGCTTGAAGGAAACTAACCACAGATCGATTTCGAAGCTTTTGCTTTTCGGTGAGTTATGAACCCAAAAACCAGCTTTATTTCCATGTCTAGTGGATCTTTGGGCATCTTGTGAGTTTAAATCACTACTTCTAAATTTCGAAAGCCACTTTCATCATCGCTCTTCTTTACATTCATCACTTTTTGAAATACTTCGTTTATGTTCCTTAACCTCCTACAGCAAATTTTCTCAAATGATTTTTAATGTCCATTACTGAAAAACAGGGTGGAATCTCGCGAACTCGTCTAAATGAAGCATATTTTATCAGGCAAAACTGAGATGACTTGATCTTCTTTTTTGACAAGAAACTTCGGAAAAATTCACTTCAAAACTTTATGCGATTGAAACATTGTGGTATTGAAAAACATTATTATTGAGAGAAATATTTAATGATCTATTAAATAGTAGAAAATGGAATTTAAAACATTAAAATTTAGTTTCAACTTATTTCTTTTTATTTTTATCAGAGGAAAATAGTTTGGCGAATAAAAACCTTTAATTAAAATGTAGAAATTAATAATATTAATAATTAATATGTTCGTAAAAATCAACTTAAAAATTCGATAAAAGTGGAGACAAAATGGCCGGTTTTCATACAACTTTCATTAGATGTTAAATTTCA